GGGGGGATAGAGCAGGAAAGGGTTCAAAGCCCTGTTGTGTTTCTATTGCTATCTCTGTCCCTACTGGGGAGATTCACCCTCTCTGTTTGTCCTAGTGATCATGGTCACCAGGACTGAAGGTCAAGCAAAATCTAGAAAGTTGTCACTGAAACAGGAATAGAGGGGAAGTCTAGCAATGGTGTTGCTTGTCGTGGTTACTTCTAAGAGAGATTTCCTCTAACTTCCTGCTGTGTTAGCAGGATTGGAAGTGAAGGGAAATCTCTCCAATGAGACACAGACAGTAAACCCTTCCCTACCTTATCTAAACAAAAAAGTTTTGGCTTTAGATATATTTTCATGACCCATTTCAAATGACTTCTTCCATAATAACTGCACGCACCCATAGCTTCAAAGCCCGCCCTCTGGTCAGTGTTTGGAGGCCGCTCTGCCTTCATCAGTTATTTCAGTTGGGTACCAATATTGTCTTACAGGGTTATTCACAAAAGGGTGAAGAGTTTGGAGAAGGCAGGAGAAGTGAACAATCTAGGACAACATTGAGCTGAATTGGAGAATTTTTCCAAATCGGCTATTTTGGCCTAGATTGTTCACTTCTCCTGCCTTCTCCAAACTCTTCACCCTTTTGTGAATAACCCCCTAAGTATTCCATATAAAAGGTGGGATGTCTCTGCCTCTAGAGTATGGTACTCACAATCCCACAAATTATGTGGTTGGGTGTCCATTAGTGAGTTAAATACGCCTGTTGTGAGCTGCAGCATCCAGCTACGTAAAAGCTTTTCGGGTTTTCGTTGACCAACAAAGTATAAATGAGTTAAACTCGCATTTTTCAGCTTGGTGGACATTTCGAAAGTAATCAGATAGCCCGATTCCAGTAAGCTGAGATAGCCAGTGCCAGCAGCTATTAGGATCTAAAATATTTGTGCTTAGCCACAAACCCAGGAGGCCAAATTTTCCAGGAACAAATTCTCAGGATGCCTGTAATGTTTTTGATCCTGTGAAGTTGATTCACGCAGATCTTGTGGAGATTGGTGCCAGCCTCTATATATCTTAATTGTTTTTTTTTTTAATTTCCTTTTTTTTGTGGGAGAGAGTTCAGAGTTGCCGTTTACAGGCTTTGATTATTATGAAATCGGCCTTCTCTAGGTTCATGACCACCCCTTTAACTGAGTTATAGCTAATTCTATACTTACTGCTTTGCGGGCCCAATACACAGCCACAAGGGGCACTCTCTGATGTTCCTTCTATCATCTATTCTGTATAAAAGTAATATATTTGTACAACATGGACTATGTAGCTTACTAATAAAGTTAATAAAAAGCAAATGTTACCTCATGTATTACTTCCCCCTCCCTTTTAGATTGTAAGCCCTCAGTGGCAGCACCCTCCTTACCATCATGTCTTGAATTGTATTGTGTTTGTAATGTCTTCCTTATATTGTAAAGCGCTGCGCAAACTGTTGGCGCTATATACATCCTGTATAATAATAATAAATGTTTAAGGGTTTTTATAATAAATGCTTCTCTTTAAGGTATCTAGTACATGATATTTGACGTGACATTTCCTCTTTCTGCTCCTAGGTCAAAACCACGGTCCTCCAACTCCACCAACCACCCCAAAGACAGACCTCCACCATGGCGGCAAACAGGAGCTGAAGCATGAAGGACGGAGGATGTTGGAGAATGGCAGACAGAACATTGACTTCAGTAATGTGGACATTAACGAGCTGAGCAGTGAGGTCATCAACAACATTGAGACTTTCGATGTCCATGAGTTTGACCAATACTTGCCACTGAACGGTCATGGACCTATTCCGGCTGATCATGGGCAAAACTCCGCGGCACCGCCTTACGCGGCGCCCTATGCACATGCAGCCGGAGCCACGCAAGCCCCCGTCTGGTCACACAAAAGTTCTTCAACTTCCTCCTCGTCTCCAGAATCTGGTCAACAGAGGCCTCACATCAAGACAGAGCAGCTGAGTCCTAGCCATTACAGTGACCAGTCCCATGGGTCTCCTACTCACTCTGAGTACAGCTCCTACAGTGCCCAAGCTTGTACTACAACTGTGCCTAGCTCTACGGTACCAAATTCGTTTCCCAGCTCTCAGTGTGACTACACAGACCTCCCAAGCTCCAACTACTACAATCCCTACTCTGGCTATCCGTCCAGCTTGTACCAGTACAATTATTTCCATTCGTCCCGGCGTCCCTATGCCACACCTATCCTCAACAGCCTGTCCATTCCACCCGCGCACAGTCCGAACTCCAACTGGGACCAGCCAGTTTACACAACTCTGACAAGGCCTTAAACGTGAGAGTTCTTGGACATACCTTTATGTCTGATTGTTATCGTCTTCCAAGACACGTGCACTATAGACAGAACGTACAGATAGAAGGCACCGTGCCAGTTCCTTTACAAGTGCCTGCTGAGAACCCTGAGGACGTTTTGGTTATCCTCCAGACGTCTCTAAAGAAAAAACTAAAAAATTGTATTGTGAAACGCAAAGATTGCGGAAAGGTTTTCTTTTTGAACTGTGACATGGTCTACAATGAAGGACTGGCCTCCAACTTCCAAATGAGGACCGAGGTTCTCTCGGCACAATTAGGAGGTGCCAACATTTTTTTGAAGTCTTATCAGATCGACCAACCATTAAGAATGTGCGTTTGACCAATTAACCCAGTTCTAACATTTCCATTTCATTGTGTCCTTCCTCTGTTGGAGAAGAGGGCCAGTTATGGGGTCAACATGTTCTGCTCCACTCGTTTCCTTTTATCCGTAGGGTCGATGCAACAGCGTTATTCAGAGCTATAGACTTTAATGGATTTTCATCGAGCCCCATAAGAATTCCACGTTTCAACAAATTCCCTTTAGAACAATATTACTGCCGTAACTTTTTAAAAAAAAAATAATATATATACCGTATATACTCGAGTATAAGCCGAGATTTTCAGCCCATTTTTTTGGTCCATAGACTGAAAATAATTGTAAAGAACTACCGTGAAACCGTACGACAGTCTGGGACCAGCCCCGTCTGACTCAAGTCTATGGAAATGTGGAAAGTATTTGTCGAGTTGCCTTATTTACTGAAGATGTGGCAGAGAGTACAGCCCAAAATCTATTTAGACACTCTTCGTCTCTGTCGTATTTGCTTTGGAATAACGATGTTTGAGTTGCCATCCTAATATGGTAGATGGATTGGCTCTGCTTAAGTACAAGTTGTATATGAAAATACGCAATGACACGCGTAAGGTCAAGGCCTTAAAGGGAACCAAGACTGGAATTCGTAATGAATACTCTTTTTTAAAAAATTTTTTTAGTTATAGTAGCAATGACCTAAAATGTAGTTTTTATGACTTTTAATGTTTTATACATATTGGTAAATGCTCCCTCTAGTGGTCATTTGTATATCAGGGATTGTGATCAATGGTTTCGGCTTCATGACTGCTGAGGTAAGCTCGGTAAGATTTAAAGAGGAACTTTTCCCAGATCTTCAAAATAACATCAAACACACCTTTAGAAATGTTTAGTGATGACAATCTACACACACATACTTCTAGATCATTGCCGGATTTTTATTGTTTGCATTCCTTATTTTTTTTTTCCTTCCCATTTTTCCCACGGTGGCTATTTTTACTAAGGGCAGATTGATATACTGTATCTCCCTTTACTTCTTGGAACTCTGGCACATGTGACTAGGGCATGTGCACATCATCTCAGGGGGAGGAAAATGCCTTTCCCTGAGATCTCGTGAGATTTCCCAGCAATGCTCTACTGATGTCACCTTCCCAGGTTACAATGCTTGGGCACAGATTACATCATTTGTGCCAAAGAGGACCAGGAAGTAGAAAAACAATAAGTGTAAAAGAAAAATATGTTTACCTAATGAATGTAAGATGATTTTATGTCAGCATGGAGAGCTGTATGCTGATGTGATTTTTAGCCAAAGGGGGTAAAAAGTCCACTTTAAAGTAACCCGTACGACGTGAAGTATGGGAAATACCATTTCTGTGTTGTTGTTTTTTTAAAGGTGCAGTCCTGCCACTTTGCTACCCAATAGTTCTCTGATGAAGAACAAGCATGCGGCCATTAAAAAAAAAGGTCTAAACTGTCCTGCATACTCGCTCCAGGTCAGTGACTCGCTAGATAATGCAGCTATAGGATCAGAATAAAATATCAAATCAATGGTCGCTCCCACATTTCTGTTGGGTTCCCTTTAAGCTGACCTGGGATGTGTGTGCAGGAACGATCCAACAGTATCATGATGCCACTTGGCCCGGCTTTAACTCTAAGGTTCCATTCACACCTAGGCATTTTGTCACTCAAAGCTGTGCGACCAATGCCCAAACCAGGAATCCCATTCATTTCTATGGCCCGTGTTCACACCTGAGTGTTCTGTCACACAAAGTTTCCCATTGAAGCCTATGGGACCAAAAAGAGCCGTAATCTGCCAAAAAGTAGCTCATGTACTTTATCCAGGGACAGCTTTTTCTGGCCATAGAAATGAATAGGATTCCTGGTCTTGAGTGTTTTGTCATGCTTACCTTTAAGTAACAAACTGCCTAGGTGTGAACAGGGACTTGAAAGGACTGCTCAAGTCACACAAAGCTGCCCCGGAAGCACTTACAGTCACCATGTTTCTGAACAGCTCCAACTCTCTCAGCTCGGCTTCCCTGAACTTCATGTCCAGTACAAGATCACAAGGGACAGAGCAATGTCCACCAGCTGTCTCATCTACTAGCTTGGAGAAGGGAGAAAGATAGGGCAGGGAGCAGGGTAAAGGTTTGCCTTGCTGCGTCTCTGTATTTGTGGGGAGACACACAGTTTACTAGCACAGACAAGGGTGGCTCCATAGGACCCAGCAAGGGAAAGGAGTCGCTCTAAAACAGGATATCAGGGCCAGTGCTTTTATACATCGAGGAGCAGAATCCATTGTAAGTGATTTCAGCAGCATCTGAAATAGCTTAAAAACCTTTTGACTTTATGGTCACTTCAACGTACATTACATACACCGTACACAAATATAAATTTACCGCGAGCTGTAGCTCCCTATATACTGAGCTTAGGGTGATGGGAGGACGCTAGTTTGTGTCCTCCCGTTACCCTAAGGAGAACTATGGGGAAAAGCCCTGACCCCATAGTTCTCCTTTAACTAGACATACATTTCCTGGTACATACATGGCAGCATACCTGTGAAAGTAATATGCTGCCATGTGGAGGTACCAGGAAAGGAAAATTGCGGAAAGGTAAGTATTCAATTTTCCTATCTCTCTATATATACATACATATCAAATATAGAGAAATTATATATATATAGTTCAATGAGCAATATTGATAGTTTCTGTTTTGACATTTTTGACAAAGTAATCAGTTTCCCTGAAATGAATCCGTTATCAGGTCGTTACCCAGAATCCTTTCCTGCAGACAGAACGCTTCAATGGCGGACGTTCATATACACTTATGTATATAGTTGGGCCAGTCTGACCCACAGATGTCCGCTCCGTATCATCATGTACAGCTGCGTTGTAATTGTTTAACAATGATTGCCAGTAAAATGCACAAGGCGTACGAGGACGGGGACGTGCCGACGGGATCCATTTCCTGTATTGAAACCCATCGGGGACGGCCCGTCCATTAAGATGTTACAGTGTGTCCTGCAGGATGTTGTCTCCTGATCTGCCGCCGAGGTCTTCTATCGTATTATTCATGAGCGGGCCGATTACTACAGGACCGGGGTTTGGACTTCATGCAGAATTGATACACTTGGAAAACAAATGTTTAGAGAACTTCCTGGCTTGAACACATGAAATGTATTATTTGATTACATTAGCGCTCATTCATACTTCTGTGGTTATAGAGAAACTCCAGGCGACGCATAGTTGAGGCACGCATATGTTTACAGTTTTACCTGCCAGAGGATTTGTGTTCTGTGCAGCCAGGCCTGTGATTGGCACTGCACGACTAGACTGGTGATTGAAGTGTGGTTATAAAGCAAAACTTGTTTTCCAGTTTTGGATAGAGAAGGGTAAGGTTAGAGCTTTCAGGTCCGTGCCCTCGCTGGGGACTTTTCCCGACTCTATTTGTTCTGGTGGCCATTGTCCAATGATGACAAATCCTACAGTGTCGCTTGAACAGGAAGTGAGAGAAAATCTTTCAATGGGGACACCTGTTCCAGTGTCAACTGCCAAACTCTATCATATTAGGCAGCAGGGGGTCCTCAGCCCTGTGTAATTTCTGACCAATATGATAGAGTTAGGCCAATTGCCAATCACTGGGGCTGTCACATGCTTTTCTCTACCTAGAAATTTTCTTTGCTCCCATTGGCTGTGTAGAGCTGTGGAGTCAAGGTGCTTCAGGAAGACCCGGCTTTAAAGCCCAATTCGGGGTTTCAATCTACTTTTTAAAAGTAAGTATTCACTATGCAATGAATACCCAATTATGTACCAGGAAAAAAAAAGAAAAACTGTATTCTTGCACATGATTGGGTGATGGAAGTCAGCAGAGCTTCACCTCATTCACTAAACTAAGGGGAACTTTGCAAAACCCCCTCCAAAGTGATCAGTCTGTTAGTAATTCAACCCCATATTACTACTACTAATAATAATACTGAGAATTATTGATAATAATAAAAATCATTGAAAATAAAAAAAATATTCTTAAAAAATAAAATAATAATAGTATTGATAATAATACTAACACCAACACTGATAAAAAATAATAATAATAATAACACTGATGGTAATCATAATAATACCTATAATAATCCTGACAATACTACTACTACTAAAATAAAACTGTTGATAATAATTATAATAATAACAACACTGATAATAATAATAACACTGATGGTAATTATAATAATAATACCAATAATAATACTGATGATGATAATACCGATAACAATACTGATAATTATACCACTAATATTAATACTGGTAATAATAATGATAGCAATAACAATACTGATAATACTACTACTACTAATAATACTGATAATAATATCAACAACACTGTTAATAATAATAACACTGATAATAATAATACTGGTGGTAATAATAATAATATTTATTATAATAATACTGATACTACTACTGCTACTAATAATACTGATAATAATAATACCGATAATAATAACAATAATACTGATAATATTAACACTGATGATAATAATATGGATATTACAAAGTATACAACAAAACACATGGCAGGCACCACCTCTAGCGCAGTATGTGCTATTCCTAAAGGAAACCAGGCATATCAATAACAGAGCCCGATGGTCCAAGAGCGCTGTATAGTGGTAGGTGCACCACAACATGGGGGGAGTGCTAATGCATTTTGCGATACCAACCCCTTCCTCAGAGCAAGACCTTTGAAGGTCTTGCTCTGAAGAAGGGGGTTGGTTACCCCGAACCTTTAGGCCCCGTTCACATATAGCGACATACCTTTTGCAGCGGATCCGCACGGCCGGGATAGCGCGACTTT